ATTGCCTCGGAAACAACGTCAGCATGAATCTTCCAGTAAAGCCAATCGACAGCTGGTCAAGAGGAATTCGATGTCTTCTTCTGGTGGAACTGACCTTCAAATCTCTTCACCCAACACTTTCACTCGAAATGGAAGTAAACTCAACAATTATGTATATACATACTTTCATTGAAAACTGAAATGATCCCAACAAGTATAATTCATAAGACACCATGAAAATAAAATTTTCTTTATACACACTGACATTGTCTACTGGGTACTCCTATACAGTTCTGGAGCAACTAATCTGAGCTTTTTTGTCAAATTTATCGAAATGATTGTTGTAACAACTTCACTTTTTTGTGAAATAGCTAGACTTTTTTGACAAGAATTAGATTCATTCCTCAAGATTCTTGTCGAGTTACATGATATAAAGTGCTCAGAAATGAATATATCCAAATATATATATATATATATAACTAAAATTGAGATGATGAATGACGGTGAAATGTTCTCCCAACCATTTCAATGAGCCTCTCCATGTCATTTAATTTGGATTACCTTGCCCTCCAGAAGGTTTATTATCCACAATCGGCAGCCATTTTGTCTTAGTCTAGGTCTAAGCAGCAACCCCAGCGTGATCTAAAACTATGATACGTTACCACACTGGTTTGATGTGACCCTCGAGACAGGTGAAATTCTATGGCATTGTAAGACCTATTCATTCAACTTTGGGGAAATTATAATTTCAGTCATTAAAAAGCATTGAATGACCTATGACATGTATTCCTCCAATTTCGTTTAAGGTGATGAAGGACTAATAGTTAGCTAAGTTTGCAAATACGCAACTTGACCCAACCGGTAACCGAAGATGAAAAGCCTCGCAGTTGCTACTTGATTTGTGCGAAAAAGTCCTTGATACACTACCCTGTAACCCCGAACCCTCAGGGATCAGCTATCTTCTCTCCTATCATGAAAAACATTTTCACTGCTAGCCATCACCAGTAAAGAAAATACAACAACCTCAAAAGCTTTTTAGGTGAGTAATCGATGGTTTCTCTCTCTGCCACTGCCTGTAGCGATGACAGGAGTTTGAGCTGAAGAGTCTAGAACCTTTTGAAGATGTTTAAACCTCGATCTGGCAGTTGTTTTGGTCTCCGGCGTCAGGTATCTTCTCACATAATAGTCAGCCAATCAGGGCTACCGACTAGAGACGCAAAATGTTTCGAGGATTATGTTAGTTGGGAAAAAGGTGTCTTTTTTTTCGAATCGCCAATGGATCTTTGGTACCACAGCAATCAGCCTCAGTCATACTTAGCTTTAGTCAAGCCATCATGAACACGTTTTTGCCATCTCTAATACGTCTTAATCAGACAAAAGTAGGCTTTATGCTTACGGCATCTCTTGTTCATCTTTGCAATTTTGTTTGTATGCCTCTATCCTTCAGGTCGCAGACTGCGCGAATGATTGCTGCCAGTGCCGAATTCCGAGCTCGGGAGGCGAAAGTGCTCTCAGAACAGGCCCGTGCCATCGCCAGAGAATTTGCGCCAGACTTTGTTCAGTTGGGTAAGTCTGGATTTCTCGATTTCCTCATTTGGAGCCCGATTACAAGGCATAAACACCGAAGATATTGAAATCTTTTATGCAAATGACTGAACCAGACGGACCATGTCGATTCGGTAATATCAGCCAAGTTGTTGGCTTCTAATTCCGAATACTTTTCACTTGCCATTTAAATCTTTTTGAGTAGTATTCCGAAGACCATCAGTAGATCTTAATCAAGGCGATTATATCCAATAAAATGGGGATTCTAGACTATCAGTTATTATTGAATAAAACTGCTAGGTGATGGAGAATGATGAATGAATAGGCTCAACAATGCAAATTAAGTCCAATTTGCTTATATCATCCAGGTTTTCCAAAAGATTCTCCTCCGCATGGGTTTCATTGACACCCACAGCTTGATTCGATATCAAGTCATGAGTATCGCGGCGACGTTAATGCTCTACGATTGCCTGTGGGAAACAGGACAGATGTGACATTTAAAGCAGACCAAATCCTGTCTAAATCACAATCTTAGAGTGTAAGTGAAGATTATTCAAATATGTATTCAAAAATTTCATCTGCTTAGATACCAAGAGAAACTGGGTTTCGATGAATCTCCTGAGATGACATTGTTAGGGAGACCTTCAGTTCGTATGAAAGTGCATGAAGAAAAGATTCGTAGGTCGATCTCACCAGAAGAG